GTGTGTGCGCGCGCGCGCGCGTGTGTGTGCACACGTGCACTCGCAAGGCGAACCCACACATATCCAACACGCATAAATTATGGTCAGTACACCCCCCCCCGCCCCTTTCCCTCCCACTCACCGCAGAAGTAAACAGCTGATTGGTAGCATAGTCAAGGGCTAGGTCCGTCGCCGTGCCGCCGGTCAACTGAGAGATTGCCATAATGGCATTCCCAACGCTGGATGTGGTCGTGTATCGGTTAAAGTTGAATTCTTCCTGGCAGGAAAGATAAAGTTCAGAGTTCACACGATTGACTGTACGCTCCAAACGACACTATAACAATTATTATTACTAGACACAGACCCGTTTTACGAACGGTGATATAGTGATAGGAAAGCCCAATATAAAATGTTTGTACCGGTACCTGATTCGTTGGCGTAGGACCTCTGTGTAGACAGCATTGCTGGTATATGCACCATCTGGAACTCGGTCCTGGGCAGCAGGTCTGTTTGCATTTATCCTAATAGAGCCCCTGGACCTAACACGACTCATTGCGACATATAATTATCAATGTGAACCAAAAAAATCGCCGTGTAAAGAAACCCTTTTCCTTTTCAAAGTCTGTCCCAGAGCTTTGTTGGCAGTCATTGCAAAAGCAGGTCTTACCGGAAATTGTTTCCGTCGCATATGGAAGGGAAATATGTTGTCTGAAGGCATGAGGGGAATCCTTGGGATGAAAAGTCTCTTTCCGGCATGTGGACCGCAAACAACGACTACATCAATTACATGTTAATGAAGGTGTTGAACCACATAGCGAGTCCCGTTGCAGTGGCCGTTTGTAGGGTCCAAATTTCTCAGCAACATGACAATGTCAGTTTGTGGGGTGGCATATCTGACGGACATAGAGAATTGATAAATTCGAAGGGGTATTGGTGTTCATTTTCTTCCACCGAATCACTGCTCCTTGAGACTTTTTCTTCTCCGGGAAAAGGACTGCATGAGCAGGTTATTGATGCTGTCTACCTCTGTGCTGGAGGGACAGATGATGCAGCTGGAAGCCAGCCAGTCAGGATTTGTGTCAGACTGCAAGTTACCGAAGACAAAATTTATCAACTCTAGTTCGCTGTTCACTGTGATGTCATTGGGCAGTGTTATCGCAAACTCCCCGATTTGCTTGCATACGTTGTGATTGCCATCACCAATGTTCGGTAGATAGTTGGAGAAATCAACAGTCTCACCTGTAAGCAAAACTCTCATGTTTCTTGTCAGTCTGAGCACATTAACATGCTCCCACAGATATGATGATTTCAGGATTGCATTGACTATCTGTGATCTTGAGCCATGGCGAACTATTGGTAGTATTTGGCACCAGTCACCCGACATCAGTACAGTAAGCCCACCGAACAGAGAGTTATTCCCACATATGTCTTGAGGTGTTAGGTCTATGGCTTTAAAGATGTGTTTGTGGCACATCGATACTTCATCAATGATGAGCAGCTCTGTCTGGCGTAATAAAGTGCCACTGGTATCTCGGAGACTCATACTGCACATGGACTGTTCGTTCATACACAGAGGTATTATGCATCTGCTGTGTAATGTTCTGCCATTTGAAAGCAGAGTTGCTGCAATGCCTGACAGAGCTGCAAGGGCGATCTTCTTAAAGGTACGAACAGTCACAAGAATCAGGTTTATAGTATGGGTTTTCCCCAACCCTACACTTGCCTCCAGGGCAAACATCTTGCCTTGCTTCTGTACAACTGACTCACCGAACAGAGAGTTATTCCCACATATGTCTTGAGGTGTTAGGTCTATGGCTTTAAAGATGTGTTTGTGGCACATCGATACTTCATCAATGATGAGCAGCTCTGTCTGGCGTAATAAATCACAGCATCACACACGACTCTTTGTTCTTCATTAAGCTTTGGGTACTCTTGACTCACCTTCTCTCGCAGGTTTTTTGTGTCAAAATGTAACTCCTCGTGGACAATTCTTGGTTGTTCTCCCTCAACGTGACTGTGTTCTGCAGGTGGCAGCTGAAAGTCTTTATGCAGATTCGACCCATCATTATCAAGAATGTGCTGAAGTTGTAGCAACACTTAGATCTCAATCTGCGGATTCAAGTCTGTGACCTTGTCTCTCACCATGATGTCACGGCACAGTTCCAATTTGTGCTTGTGCCAAAAAGAGCGAAGATCAGCTGGGCGACAATAGATGAGAATAGTTGTAAAGACAAGACGTAACTGGGGTCCAAATCTTATGGGAAATGCGTCCTACGTTGCTGCATCCTTCTCAGTGTCACCATCGAGCAGTCCAAGCTGGTTGCATGCTTCTTGATAAAATGTGCTACTTGATCCATTTACTCGATGAAGCACTGTGAAACAGAAGTAGTCCCCAGTCAAAAAAAACCACAACTAATATTCCGTGGGCCAAAAGAAGCTGCTGAAATAGAACTATGTGGCATACACACACGACAAAACACAAACAGCACTTTTGTTCTTGCTAACTACAACAAAAAAGTACAAATCTTTGGCACACACACGACAAAACACAAACCGCACTTGTGTCCCTGTTAACTACTCCAATAAAGTAGAACTCTGTGGTACAGACGCGACAACGTACAAATCGCACTTCTGTTCTTGCGAACTACTCACACGCATGAAGACGCACAATATGAAAGGGAAGTAGTCCCCAGTAAAATATGAAATGGCGAATGGCAGAGTGAAAACATCTGAGATCTTCGATTTACAGGAAAAACCATCAAACCTGAAAATCAAAAGGTAGTTTCCGAACTTCGAAAATATGCCCAGGTAACCCTTTGGGGCAATTCTTGTCTGAATCATATTTTTGTAGATTTTATGGGCACTTGTGTAAAAAGTTTTTACTGACCTCACAAACGGGCTTAGCTTCATTATAATAAGATTTAGGAGGTGGGCTGTTGGATACGATACTTTTCATGTCAGTCAGACGGATAGACATTGTGCTTGATAAGATTGCTTCCGTACATGGGAAATGTCTTCTACCCCAAACAGCATAGAGCCAAATCACAACACCACAGGCGACGGGGTAAAGATGACAGTAGTTGGTGAAAATGGCCTAGCCAAGCCTGCGGGGTTGAGAACACCACCCGCGCACACACAGCGGTAGCGAAAACCACATCTTAGACCTTCGCCGGGTTGCCCTGTCATCTATTCAGGAGCCCAGCTTGTTTAAGAGTGGGAGTATTGCAGCCTTAAAAATGCGAACCAATATTGCCAGAATCTTACTACTAATGGAGTTCAGGCCAAATTTTGCGAACAGTATATTCTCTGAAACTAAAGAATGAAAAAATATGAAACTTTGCCAGTACCCATAACTTGAAACGTAGTGTTGTGTGATGTCAAGGCACTGCTTCAAGAGATTGCCTTTCGGAATCAGCTCAGGACCAGAGGTCTTTCAAAGGGAAATGACCTAAATCTTGTCGGGCATTCCTGAAGTGGTGGACGACATTGACGATGTCTTGATCGGAGGAAAGAATAAGGAAGAACACGACAACAGACTTCATATGGTACTTCAAAGAATGAAACAAGCAGGAGTCACCCTAAACGAAAAGTGTGTTTTTTGCGTCAAATCCATCAAATTCCTTGGACACATTATATCCAAAGAAGTCATACAAATAGACCAAGAAAAGGTAGAAGCCATCACAAAGTTCCCGAGACCTGAAAAGATAGCCGATGTCCGAAGTTTCCCAGGAATGTTGAATCACATAGAAAAGTTTGCACCCGGTCTGGCAGAAAGGACAAAGTCGTTGAGAGATTTACTAAGAAAGGAAACAATATGGACCTGGTATGATCCGCATGAACAAGCATTCCAGACATTAAAGAAACAGATGAGTACAGCACCTTTACTCATTCACTACAGTCCTCAAAAGCCAACAAAGATATCAGCTGATGCATCATCCTATGGCATGGGTGGTGTACTGATGCAAAAAGAAGGCACAGATTGGAAACCAGTCTATTATGTGTCAAGGTCCCTTATAGATACAGAGAGAAGATATGCACAAGTTGAAAAGGAAGCCTTAGCAGTTACTTGGTGCTGCGAGAGATTTGCAGACTTTTTAGTGGCATTGCCAAAATTCCTGATTGAAGCAGATCACAAACCACTTCTTCAACTGATGAAAACAAAGCGCCTGGATGAATTGACCCCTCACATTCAGAGATTTAGGATGAGAATGATGAGGTTTTCCTACAACATCGTCCATGTACCAGGAAAGAATTTGATAACAGCCGATGCATTGTCAAGAGCTCCGGTGGGAGTGTCAAGTAAAGAAGATCATCAAATGGAAGAAGAGTGTGAGCTACACGTCAGATCTTTCCTGGAAGGATTCCCAGCAAGTGACAAGAAATTGCAAGAAATTAGAGAGCAGCAAAATACAGACGAAATCTGTAAGAAATTAAAAGAATACTGTCAGTCCTCATGGCCAGCGGCAACCAAAGTCGATCCAGTTATGAAGCCATATTGGACATCGAGAGACGAGCTGACTGTGGAACAAGGTTTGCTACTATACCATTGCCGAATTGTTATTCCCACAATATTAAGACAGGATATTTGGAAACGTCTTCACGAAGGACACAAGTGCAGATCGCTGGCTCGAAGCAGTGTATGGTGGCCTGGACTGTCACAGCAAATCGAAACGTTGGTTACAAACTGTCCAGACTGAGAAAAAGAAAGGTCAGCCCAGAACCATTGAAGTCGACAGTCACTCCAGACTACCTAATAGTAGACTATTACTCGAGGTGGATTGAGATAGCTCATCTAAGAGAGCCTACTGCTTCAAATGTTGTAGAACATTGCAAGTCAATTTTTGCTAGATATGGAGTTCCTGAAATCGTCGTCTCAGACAATGGATTCCAGTTCGTTGCACACGAGTTTCAAAAGTTCTCACAGTACTATGGTTTAACGCACCTGAGAAGCAGCCCTCTACATCCTCAGAGTAATGGAGAAGCTGAAAGAGCCGTCAAAACTATCAAAATGTTACTGAGTAAGTCTGATGATCCTTACTTGGCTCTCACGAACTACCTCTCCACTCCTTTACAGCAAGGACAGAGCCCAGCAGAACTTCTAATGGGTAGGAAAATCAGGACAAGAGTGCCCATTTTCCCAGAAAAACTGGTCCCAAAGGGGGGAGAAAGGCAGGTGTTCAGGAAGATTGACGCAGCTTTCAGGCAGAGGCAGAAACAGGATTACGATCGAAGACATTGCGCCAAGCCCATGTCAGACTTGTCAAAAGGACAGCCAGTTTGAGTTAAAACCCCAAGAGATGCCAAGGCTACCATTGTAGACATATCGAGAGGCAGATCATACCTCTTGAAAACGGACAACGGCTTGAAGGTTCGTAATCTTCACCAGATCCGGCTGAGGACGGAAGGCGACGACAGTAACCATCTCGTGATCCCCCGAGAGTCTTCTATGTTGCCTCACCATCAGCCAGAATTACCAGCAGAGTCACTAGAGTCCGACACAACCCTTCATGATACTTCCACTACGTCTGACTACATAACGAAGTCGGGACGCCATGTCAGGCCTCCGCAGAGACTCGACTTGTAGACAAAGTTACTGCTGTGTACAGTGTATATAAGGTTTCAGAGTTATAGTTTCTGTTTCTGGTTGATGCGTTTAGCATTTTGAATTGTTCTTGAAATTGCTTGTGAGGGGGATGTGATGTCAAGGGACATGACTCTTATCTTTACTGTGGGGACAAGATAATTAAGGGAGGGGCACGCCCTTGGATGACGTCAAGGGTTCCGCGGGAAATAGGCGGAGATCGTCTGAGAGACTCACTGAGATATTCCGTCGGACTCAGGACCACGACGAGGCAACACTTATCAAAATCAGAGAAATCAAGCTACCAGCATGCTCCGTACGTTTCTATGGTAGCCAAAATTTTCAACAACAACAGACAAACTGATATTGTTAATCAGGAGAAAAGGAATATATCTTATCACCCTCGAGGTCTGCAATTACTTCAAAACACAGCGTTGAACAAAAGTAGACAAACCTTCACGGTAGAGCTGAAGGCGATGGCGAAATAAATGTATTGTTTCACCCTCAATGTTTTCAATTACTTCAAAACACTGCAAAAAACCCCCACAAAACAAAAACAACAACGACAATAACAACAAAACAACAACAAAAACAAAACAACAATAACAAACAGAAAAACAAAAGTACACAAACCTTCACAGCGGAGCTGAAGGTGATGACGGCGACCTTGACCGTGTCCGGAGCAACGTTGAAGCTGTTCACAACACCATTGGCGAAGCCTTTCGACAGGTTAAAGTCGCTGGGAGCCAGACTACCGGAAGAGTCCAGGATGAAGGCAATGTCCAGGTTCTCCGCCTTGCACGTTGCATAAACTGAAAGGTTAGAGTGGTTGGAAATGACGACAAACGACGAAAAACGGCAGAAGTCACACCTTTGTTTTTTTAACTTAATCAATCGTGATCTATTGTTTGACTTGGTTTAATCAAGTCCGTTAAAACATTTTTCTTTTTCACTAGAAAAGGGCCGTTGTCCCACACAGGTAACGTATTCAAAGTATATGTTTCATGGAAAGACGGCAGTAGTCCGTAAAACTCCGAAAAGAAGGGCCTCTTTCCACAATTTTCTTTCTTTCTTTGACCAGTGTTTCTTTTCTCTTGTGGTTCTCTTTTTTATGACCGTGTTGACCCAATTAATTCATTTATTAAATCTGTACCCTTCCGTCTCAAGGATAAATAGGGTGGTTTGAATTCCAAATACAAATAAGAATCTTATTTGCAAAGTGTTCATAGAAAGACATCTTTAGTATGCGTAGAAACTGAAGTTCAGTGACGGAAATAGGATTTTTTTCCAGTACACTTGCCTCTCACCGAGGATTCTGTTCCCCGCCGTTACGACTTCGCCCAGAAGGGCAGAGTTAAACCACCACTCTTTGGGGCTCCAAACATTTCGAACGGATAGGCTACCACACACACAACAACAACAACAACAACAACAACAACAACAACAACAACAACAACAACAACAACAAATATAGCAATCACAGCAAAAATATCGGCACGGCAACAACAAAAACAGCAACAACAACGATGACAATAACAACACCGTGTACAACACCATGTACCACAGCAGCAGCAGCAGCAGCAACAACAACAACAACAGCAACAACAACATCAACAACAACAGCAACAACAACAACAACAACAGCCACGTTATCTCCACTCACAACGGTCCAATTCCTGAACGCCGTTGACATAAGCCGTATAGTCTCCTCCCATGCTTTGGCTGTACAGCGACGCCTGAGCGGTAACACTCACCGGCATCATGTTCCCCGCTTTACTGAGGGCAAATATTGTAAATTATTCTGTGAAAATGGAAAAGGTTTAACGCAACTATCAACACTATTATTAGGTTATTCAAGAGGCGGGACCTCCGAGTATAACTTCCGTATTCGAAAGGACCGAACTAAATGGGAAATTCGTATAAAGTGCTTTTTCCCCAAGGACATAACGTCGGACCGAGCTAAAGCTCGACCCCCCCCCTCCCCCCGGAACCGGAATCTGTAATCTCATGATAACGGGTCTGGTAGCCTAACCACTACGCCAGCGACGCCACAAATTATATTGTATTCATAAACTTTTTTCTGCGTCGTCTAATTTTCTTTTGTGTTGTTTTATCATGGTTTTGTTCTTCAATTTAGGACAAGTCCACGTTCGAAGTGAACGATGGCATATAATATTTAACACCTCATCAGTATAATTTGAATATTTTAAGAGGAGGGCTGCTTCGGCCCTAGGCTCCATGGTAAAACTTGGCTGAAGCTGATCCACCGTCACAGTAGACAGACGCCGACACTTGAAAAGATATTTTCCACAATTCTGTTTAAGAGCCTCGCCATCTACACCCTGGTCGCCTGACCAAAACATTTTGAGTTTGGGTAAGTCCAATTCTGGCAAAACGGATGTTGGCCTACTCGATAATACCGAACTCATGTATTTTGCAAGAAATCAATGAAGAGCCTAACCAATACATCACAAACGAAGGCAAAGAGTATTGCAAAATATCCTAATGCAATTTTTGAAAGAAAAAGAACTAAAAGAACAAAAAAGAAAACGTTTATTGCAAAACTTACCTGAGAATAATGAACAGAGCGGCTAGTCCAGAGTAGAGGGGTTTCTGCAGATCTGACCAGTGGACTCTGGACCAGTCAATGCCGAAAGCTGCCGGTAGCTTGGAGGGGAATCCCTTGAGAAAGTTTGCTGTCTGTGTCGCCTGGAAGTCCGCCTGGCTCACCTGTGGGCAAGAAAACCATGGTGAAAATGAAACACCCTTGTCAACACTATTAAGTTACGTAAGACCGCACACTATTTCTTAGCACCAATTAGCTGAGGCTCGAACTTCCCAACCCGCAATCAGACGATTACGGGTCTGGTAGCTTAACCACTAGGCTACTAACGCAACTCTGTGGAGGTAGGAGAAATTCTCTGTTTATGTGGGCTCTGCACAAATATACTTTATCTTGAATATATAATAGGTAAAGGCTTTCGAAAGTTCGTATTAGAGTTCAAGATAAATGAACAGGATAAAACGTCCATTGCTATCACTGTGCGCGAATAATACGTTAGTTACTATAAACTTTGTACCCCTTCCAGTTAGAAATGGGAATTAATTGGGAAATGCTACCTCTTCAAACTTCACTTTGTATCGTCAACGTCAACACCCTGATTGAAAACAACAAGAAACAATTCTATCTGAACAAATTTCAATGTAAACTCCTGCAAGGAACTTTTTCGATTATCTGATCAATTATTGGGAAGGGAGAATTGTACACGGTTTCCACCTGGAACTGATAAAGAGCTTTGTTGTAATTTTCTGCACTTTTTCAATGATAAAATTGAAAGAATAAGAACTGATTTAGACTCTGATATGTTAGATGTAAATACAAATATAGTTGTTGATGAAAATCTTGCAATTATAAATAAATCAATATTGAGTGAATTTAAAGTGGTATCAGAGAAAGATGTCATTAAGTATATCAAAGAGTCCCCCGCTAAAACATGCGACTTAGACCCAATACCCAGTTAGTTACGTGCTTAGAAGATCTCGCACCATATGTTACTCGTTTTATTAATATGTCACTCACCACTGGAATCGTACCTTATCTTTTCAAACAAGCCATTGTAAAACCTTTACTTTAAAAACAAGATCTTGATGAAAACGACATGAGAAATTTTAGGTCAGTTTCAAATCTTAACCTTTTATAAAAAATCCAGCAGAAAATCGTTTTGCGTCAAGTTCAACAACATCTAAAGTCTAAAGGTCAATGACATGGAGGAACCTTTTCAATCTGCTTATAAAAGGCACCACAGTACGGAAACCGCTCTTTTAAAGGTATCATCAGATGTTGTTAATGAAATCGATAATAAAAAAGTCTGTGTTTTGTTCTACTTGATTTGTCAGCGGCGTTCGATACCATCGACCACGAAATTTTGCTAGAGAGATTGGAAAAGTCATTTTTACTATCAGGTACTGTTCTAATGTGGCTTAAATCATATCTAGAAAATAGATTTATGTCAGTGAAAATTAGCAATGATGTGTCAGATAGGTTACCTCTAAAGTACGGAGTTCCTCAGGGTTCGGTCCTTGGTCCTGTCATCTTTACAATGTACACGCAAAGTCTGTCATCAATAGTTTCTTTATATGCCCTCAATTACCATATTTATGCAGACGATACACAGCTGTATGGATTCACTTCAACTGACAATGTACACAATCTCATAGACAGAATCGCCATATGTATCAATGATATACGAAAACGTATGCTCAAGAACAAATTAAAATTAAATGGAGATAAGACCGAAATATTATTTCTTCGTAGCAGCGCATGCAATGAAATCGACAATATCAGTATAAACTTCAATGGCCACGAAATATCAGCGCAAACTAAAATAAAAAGTTTAGGTGTAGTGCTAGATCAAGATATGTCAATGAAATCCCATGTATCCAGTCTTTGTAAAAATCTATATCTCTAACTGAAGAAAATAGGGAGCATTAGAAAATATCTATCTGTTGGTGTCACCAAAACATTAATAACATCACCTATATTGTCAAGGATTGATTATTGCAATTCCTTACTGGCTGGTGTACCTGATGAACATTTACAACAACTACAAAGAGTACAAAATATTGCTTCCAAAATAATTACTAAGAAACTAAAGCATGATCATGTGACTCCTGTTTTAAAAGAATTACTTTGGCTCCCGGTGAAAGAGCGTATCATATATAAAATCTGTTTAACTTGCTACAAGTGCTTACATGATTTATCACCAGACTATCTAAAACAGTTTTTAACACCCTACGTGCCTCCTAGAACTATCAGATCATCAAGTGACAAAACAACCCTTGTCAAGCCTAAAATAAATTACAAATCATATGGCCAACGCTCTTTTTCATATTTTGCCCCACTTGTTTGGAATAGGCTTCCAAAAACTATCAGAGAAGCAGAAAATCTAGAAATTTTTAAGAAGAAACTAAAAGCATTTCTATTTTCATCATATTTCGATTAGGCAGAATCCATCCAAGCTGTAGATCGTTGTGAGTTTGTATGTGCGTATGTGCATATGTACGTATGTGTATATGTGTGTACGTATATGTGCATATGTGTGTGGTGCGTGCGTGCGTGCGTGAGTATGTGTGTGCACGAGCATGTAACACTATGTGCCTTTAAAATTTATTTGTAAATCCACAATATGTATCATGTTAAGCGCATAGAGCATTGCATAAGTGGATATGCGCTATATAAATGCAATCCATTATTATTATTATCGTAACTTTGCTACCTTAGAACAAAGTTCTATCAGACATTTTTGGCTTTTTTTGAGTTACTAAAACCATTAGGTCGGAAACCAAATTAATATACTCTATCTGCTGCTCTTTCAAAATCGTCAGATTATTCGGAGGCGTTATCAAAATATTAAAAGAATTGCATTCGAAAAACATGACATGTTGTGCAACTCCAAAATTTTGACGTCAAATTCCTCAAAACTAGATGCTGGGCAGAGAGAACTTTGTAATTCTAACGCAGCGCATTGACCATCATCATCATCAATAATTTAGTTATAGAGGCACCAGCCATCCATATCCAGGTGCTGTTTTAGCCATGCAGCGTACGATCTCCGAACCCGCTGCCCCACACGAACCTGCCATATCCCTCCGTAGAAGCCATTCCTGTAGGTGTTGGGGTCCTCGCCGTCCTTGGACTTGACGTAAGCCAAACGCCGGAGAAACAGGAAATCGTCCGCGAAGATGCACTTTTCCCTGATGGCGGACACTGCGACGTCCACTACCGCTTGACCGTGAGTCCGGGGCACCAAGGTCAGGTCAATAGTGTCCTGTTGACCCCAGCAGGCCGGGGTCAAGGTCACTATGATGACCAACAGCGTGACGTGGATGCAGCGAATCGATGGCATCCTGAGGAAAGAACTGATGTCAAGACAGATGTACTGGAAGCGCATAGAAATGAGAACTGAAGGATTGGGGGGGGGGGGATTTTTATTAGAAACAAAATGTGTCACGACGAGGGAGAGTCAGGCTCTGGTCAGTTTTGGGCATATCGAGATATTATCACTCTAAAGCTTGTTCATTTGTCTTATATATAGCGGGAGAAAATCCATCTAGTCCTATCTTGAATTATAAAAGTCAGGAATTTTGCGAATAAAGGAGAATGGGGTTGCCTGGTGTGAGAGGTAGAATTGTCGAGAAAATGGCTGCCAAAGATTGATGACATCCAAAATTTGAGTGTCTTTGGAAAATGGAAATGTACATTTTGTGTGCCTTTAATCAACGCTTTTCTGTGACATTCACACAGCGATGTGGTTTTAAAACTGAATGCTTGCCCGAATCCCTCAGGTAAAGTAATTAATTCATCCACGAGATAACGTTTCGTGTACATGGACACATTATTTCTATCACTCATTTACAAAGACCACCTGGACACAGTGGCGTCTGAACGGGTGGTTTGTGGGTGCTACGGTGTGGTTTGCTTCTTCTTTAATATCAAGTATCTATCGTCCTTATCTCCCCTCTTCTTTTGCTACTTGCTTGTAATGACTTTTATTTTATTTTATTTAGTAGAGGGTTTTACGGCGCTTGCAACTGCATAAGGTCATATGAGTGCTGTAATATCTCTGTCCTCATCACTTATATGACCTTATCGTTTTGCAAGTGCCGCAAAACTCTTACTAATGCTAAAATGTCCATGTAGCGATCGAGGGTCTCGTCGCGTTCGACAGACTGGGGGTGTGGCAGGTTTAGAGTATCATCATTGGTCAAAATACTTAACCAAGGAGTGACGGCCGACATGCCGTGGTGTGTGTATGTGAGGGTGTGTGTGCGCGTGCGTGTGTGTGTGTGCGTGTGT